TCCTTAAAAATACTTTTTTTTAAAATTTTTTTTAGTTGTTAATGGATCTTTTATTTAAATTTATTTATTTATTTATTTGTTTATTTATTTATTTATTTATTTATTTATTTATTTATTTATATGTGGTGCTGAGGCTCAAACCCAGGGCCTCACACATGCCAGGCAAGTGCTCTACCACTGAGCCACAACCCCAGCCCCTAAAAACACTTCTGAATCACTCAGCAACTTGAGGACTGACTACCACCAGAGACRTTTTATGGTATGAGATAATTATCTTCATTGTTTAAGTCACAGTTAGTTGGTAATTCTGTTATTTGCAGCCCCAAGCAAACATTATTATGCAGCTATCTGCTGCTTGACTGTCCAACATGCAGCCCGCTGATTCTGGTAGAAACATTCTGATACTGTGTTAGGGAATCCACACAGAGGCTCATACATTGCATGTCATGTAATCTCTGCTTCTTGGAAGACCACGTGACCCGGTCTGGCCAATCAGGGTGTTACTTTTGCCTGCCTGTTTCTGCAGATCCAGGACTGAGTTCACTGGGATCTCTGCTTGAGAGCAAAACCAGCCCYGAAGAGAGCAGAGTTGAGAAAAGACAAGATGAGTTTATGATCTTTATCCTCTGGGACGCTCTTTCACCTGGGCTACCTTTGGACTTTTCTTTCCTTTCCAAGAACCAATAAATGTCTATTATTCCTTTTCCTGGCTGATGGAGGCCAGAGTCCAGGCTTCCAGAGGGGCCCGAGGTTCAGAGCTGGGAGACAGCAGGGTTGGGYGGCGGCTCTGCAGGGCGGCTGCTATTACCTAGCTCTTCCCCCCAGAGCAGAAGCCAGGGCAGGAGGAGCCAGGTGAAGTGCCCGGGGCTGCACAGCAGGTCATGCAAAGGGCTCAGATTCAAACTCAGGCCTGGGAGGACTCTAAACTCAAAATTATTTTTCCTAGACCACACTGATGTCAGGGTAAGTCTTTACCAGGAATCAAGACAGTGTGTTTCCTCTTAAATATCCAGAGAGGAGTTTTGTTTTGTTTTGTTTTTTGGTATTGGTTGTGTGGGACCGAGGGACCTGACAGGGCTCCCCTGCACTTGAGCGTCTGGGCCAGAATCCTTAACTGTGTTCCTGATCAGCTACAAAGAGGCAGTGGTGGCACCATGAGGTCCACACAATGTCACTGCCTTCTACTTGCTTCTCTTCCCAGGGCTCTCCCTGTACCTTCTGCTTCAAGTTCAGGCTACTTGGCTCTCTCTGGAGCTCCCAGCTCTTCAGGATATGTAGATGAGTTCTTCTAGAAAATTCCAGGACCGTCAACGACCCTTCCAGATGAGATGTCCCACTGTCCTTCTGTTACTTCTCTCTGCGAACTTCTTTTCAATTGATGCTGGTTTTCACCTTCTAGGGGTGAGATGCCATTCCCTTCACAAACCCAAATCTGTACGTTTTAAATTGAGCCGACGTATAGACACATACAGGTTGAACATCCAGATCCTGAGAATCTGAAACCGGAGATACCGCCCCCCCGAAATCTGAAGCATTTTGAGCTACGGTGCAACACTATGAATGGAAAGTTCCACACCTGACATGGGTCCAGTCAAAACCTAGGTGCAAGGTACCTTCGGGCTCTGTGTAACAGGTGTGTAAGAAACATTGTCGAAACTCACGTTTAGACTTCAGCTCCATCCTCAAAATTATCTTTTTATACATATGCAAATGTTCCAAAATCCTGAAAAAAAAATCCCAAACACCTGTAGTCCCCGGTGTTTCTGTTAAAGGATACCCAGCCTCTAATGAATGCATAATGGTGCAGGTGACAGGTACCATAGAGCAACAATAATGAGAGTGGTAGACAGATCAGTGAAGATTGTCAACTGCTGCTCGTAGAATGGAGGCTGTCATCAGCCCACCCCCCAAGGAACAATCCATGGGCATCTCTGTCGGAGTTGAACCCTCACCTGCGTGACAGAGCTCTCCAACCTCCTGAGCCTGGCTGGGGTGGGGAGCGGGGATCAGGGGACTTGCATGTTAACAGAGTTAAGGGACATATGATCCCTCAACCACCAGGACAGTGAGCAGAGCCCAGGCGCTCTCTCTGGTAACCCTCCTGAGTCAGGAGTTGGCGGAGCAGGTCTGGACACGATGCGTAGGGAGACTTTCCCGTGCTCGATGCTTCGTGGTCGCTGGAGTCGCTGTAGAGAGAGTGGTCACCAGCAGCCTGGCTGGAAGATTTAGGTCCAATTAGGTCTGTGGACCTGTAGCRTCAGAATCACTTTTTAAAGATGTAGATTTCCCTGGAGACTCAGGGACTCTCAAATGGGGCCAAGAGTTCTGAACTTTTAATTAGACGAAATCTTCCCTCAGGGATATGAAGAAACACTGTGATGGAAAATGGGGAAAAAAAAAATACCAACTTTAAAGAATGAATCCTTGCTGAGCACCGTGGCACACGCCTGAAATCCCAGCAGCTTRGGAGGCTGAGGCAGGAGGATCTCGAGGTCAAAGCCAGCCTCAGCAACTTAGTGAGGCCATCAGCAACTTAGCGAGATCCTGTCTCTAAATAAAATATTTATAAAGGTCTGTGGGGGCTGGGGCTGGGGCTCAGTGGTAGAGCACTTGCCTGGCATGTGTGAGGTCTGGGGATGTGGCCCAGTGGTTGAGGGCCCCTTGGGTTTAATTCCTGGTACCAAAAAAAAAAAATGAAGAATGTCTCAAAATCAATCTCCCTTCCCCCTCCCCGCCTCTCTCCCTTTCCTTCCCTCTCCTCTACTTGTGTCTACAGACATAKCTCTCACAGTGCCCGAAAAAAAAATGGCCACTGGGTGACTTTTATTCCCCACCCCTGTCTTCAATCGGGATCAAAGACTAAACAGATATCCCTAATCAGAAAGTCCTGGTTCCTGTAACCATCCTCTGACAACAATCACAACGTTCCCCAAGGAACCAAAGACCCCTTTTGATCTCTGCCTGCCCCTTCAACCCCGGGGCTCATCTGTCCGACTCATACTCGAATCAAAATGCAAAGGTCCAAATTGTCACCCCAGATAATTCCAGGCTCCTGGAGCCCCAACATTTCACAGTCTTCATATGATCTCAAACTTCCTGAAATACGAAGATGCCGGGAGTTGTACAACCTTTGAATGCAGTTCTACAGTGTTCCAGAGAGTTCCCCAGCCGCGTGGGAGTGAGAGAGAGAGAGAGAGAGCCTGTGTTCCACAAGTCCTAGTACATCCTGAGACGGGGATTGGAGGTGATTCAGAAGGGACCGAGAGGACGGAGCAAGTGAGACTAGGAGGAAAGGGAGTTGGTACAGGGTCCTTTAACCAGCAGGTTAACACTGTGGGCTACTGGGCTCGAACCTGGAGATTTATACACGAAATAAGGAATGTACCTCCAAAGTATCCCACTCAAAAGGTGGAATAACTGGGTGTTTAGCTACCAGGTGCCATCTGTCACTGGTTAAGAGCAGCTCCAGCGGTCATGAATCCCCGGGGTGTTTCTAACCTCCCCATCAAGCAGGTCAAGTACACGACTCTGTCTGGCAAAGACCCCAAGCACCGGTATTGTAGGTACTGGGGGAGCAGGGTACAAAGACCCTGGCCCATGCAGTAGAAGTGAATGCCTAGCAGGGGACGTGACGTTAAATGTTGGACAACTGGCTTCCCCAGGGGAGAGCCCTGGCCTGTTGCGTTTGCCCATGTCTGTGGCGTAAATATTCTCTCTATAGCCATTTGCCATCTACCAACTTAATGTCACCGAATGCAGAGTCCAAAAGATACTGGTTCTCATGTGTTGACGTAAGGCATCTCCAGCACATCCCAGAAGAGGATCCAGGAAGGCCACTAACAACAGCTCCTTACAGGTATGGCTGGAGCACTGTGTTACGTAACTTTTACACTCTATTCTATGATCTATCAACATTTGATCCTTTTATAGCAGGATTACTCTTCAAATCTTATTATTACTTTTTTTTTTTTGTACTGGGGATGGAACCCAGGGGCACTTAACCACTGAGTCACATCCCCAYTCCTTTATTTATTTTTCATTTCACTAAGTGGCTTAAGGAGGGCCTCACTAAGTTGCTGAGGCTGACCTTGAACTTGCAGTTCTCCTGTCTCGGCCTCCCGAGCCTCTGGRATTACAGGCATGCACCATGGTACCCAGCTGCTCTCCAAATCTCGGAATAACTTCACACACCCAGGAAAGTACACGTTGTTTATTGTTTTTACACCATCTTCCCGGCCCCCATAAACCACACCCACCTCATTTACACAGTCATGCATTTATGAAATCAGTGAAAATCTATTGAAGGGGCCAGATTTCAAAGATACCTCCATTGGGTCAACCAGACAGTAATGGCCATATCTTGTTTTGCCTGAACAGAGACAACACACACACACACACACACACACACACACACACACACACACACTTTTCCCCTCCTCCTCCTAATGGTACCTCAATCTTGAGTCTTCAAACCTTATTTTCTGGCTCTAGGAATTAGTGCCTGACACCAACCTGACCAACCAGACGAGACCCCAGTTGGGCCAAGGATACTCTTTGCTTAGAATTATTGGAATAAGAAAATCCTCCTGCTGTGTTAGGAGGCTAGAAGGATGCAAGTTTGGAGTTACTGGTAGCCATTCTGCACCCTGAGGGAAGAGCCCTCGGGAGAAGGGTTAAACAGAGTCCCAACATCATTTGTGCCCTTGGATCCCGTGATGTCTGAAGACACGGACTTTTTCATTGTGTGAGCCCATAAAATCCCCCCCCCCTTTTTTTTTTTTACTTCAGCTGTTTTCATTGGATTCTCTGTCACCTGCAACCAAACGATGGCTGACGGATCCACAGACCTGAGATCCAGGGACCTGAGCTTTAGGATAGGCCCTTCCAACTGTCTCTCCTTGACCCCAGAGTTCAGTTTAGAAATAAGAATGGTGTAGAGACCCTGCCTCCATGAAGACGGAGGACGACTCGCAGGCAGAGACTGGCCTGCAGGAGCTGGCCAGAGATGCAGGGGGTGGCCGGCCTCACTTCAGGATCCGGATGCTCATTTTTTGTTCGATGTCCATCTTCTCTAAGGACTGGAGAGAGAGATGGAGGTGGTCACGTCAGAAGTCTCGGATCGCAGTCCACCCTGCCTCCCCCCTCCCGCCGCAGGGCTCTACGCATTCCCCAGAGCCCCTTATTTTTCAGCCCTCCTTCTATGTTATGTCTCATGCCCATCTCTCTGCGGGAACTCCACTCCCCAGTTCCCCAGGGGGTCAGCACGCCCGACCTTGGTGAACTCCAAGAAGGACACWGCCCCATCCCCATCTTCATCCGCCTCCTGCACCGTGCGGTCCGTGATGCTCTCYAGCTGCTCTTCTGTCACCTGGACTCCGACCATCAGCCGGAGAACCTGGAGGTAGAAGCAGCAGCCATAAAGAAGAGGCACAGAGTGTACTCAGGCACCCCCCAAACTCACTGCTGAAAGGACTCCCAATTTCATGATCTCTCATCCATTTCCCACCCCACCGTCTCCCCTAATAATTCCCCCCACACACACACACACACACACACACACACACACGGCTTGGGCCTCTGATCCCCCATCTAACCCTCACCACTCACCGCAACAAGCAATATGCCCAAACTCATGACTACAACCCTATAACCCCAGCTCGCCCATGGCTAGCTCCCCCTCTGTCACCACCTCAGCACACCTGAAGAGAGGTGAGCTTCTTGATTTGGGTGCTGTGGACATTCGGGGCCAGTCCACCCYCTGTTGTGGGAAGCTATCCTCACTATTATCCAATGTTCAGAGCAGCATTCCTGACATCGACCCAATGCCAGCAGCACATTCTCCCCCAGTTGGGACAACCAGGAAGGTCACCAGCTATGGCCAAGTGCTCACTCAGGAGACAAATTTGCTGCCTGCTGAGAATCCCTGATTCCYCACCTCTTACCTAACTGCTACCCACCCCTCCTCCCAACTAACCTGGCTCCTTTCCATTTCCCACCCCGTATGCATGTTCYGCCCATGGAAGGATCATCCCGCCCCATGCCCAGCAGCCCCATCCAACCATCCCCCCTCACGCAGCAGGTCTGTTTGCATCTGCCTCCTTCCCACCTGCAGCATCTCGTGCCTGGAGATCTTCCCATCCTGATCCAGGTCGTAGAGCTGAAAGGCGACTGGGAAGACGGGGGATAAGGAAGGTGGGTCTTACTGGTCGCCTTGGAGGCCTAGATCATCAATAGGCTCACSGAGGGAGTGGGAGCTTCCTGGGGCCTCTCCCTGGTGTGCCCAATTCTGGGGTCTGACTCGGGCAAGCCCCCCACACATTACTCACAGCGAAGTTTGTTCATTCTGCTGTTGAGGGGTTCAGGCTGCTTGGGGTCTCGGACTCCTGTGTCATCGTCTCTAGGTCGAAAATGAGCCAGAACCCTGACAAAGCCTGAGAAATCCAATCGCTGACTCCTGGAGGGTGGGATGGAGAGGAGCAGGGGTCACCTTGGCCAGCCACCTGCCTCTGTCTCTGACCTCCCCCACCAGGTTTCTCCAGCTCCATCTCCTCCACCCCACCGGGCCTCACCCMTCGGGGAAGAAGCTGTCTATAATCCGGTCTCCCAGGGGGTTGACAGCCAGCGCCCCGATCTGCTGGAGATCCATGCGGCTGTAAAGTCAAAGTTCACAGTGGCTGGGACCAAGGCGGCAGGTGGTGTCTGAGAGGGGAGTGGGGGCAGAGGTCATCGGGCCAGCCCCCTCCCCTCACCTCAGGTAGCCCTTCTTGTTCCTGTCCAGTGCCCGGAACCGGTGGTAGAGGCGGAGCAGACTGGCCTGCGAGACTGCGGGAGGCAAGGAGGAAGGGTGACCTGCCCAGTGCGCTCGGGACGTGGCTGAACCCCAGAGCCGCGGGGCAGCGCCCCAGAAACCCCCTCCCGGTGGCCAGGGGAGGCAGGCCGAGGGCTGAGCACTTGCTTGGGGGGGTCTTTATCCTCGGACCCGGGGCAGAGGGACGGAGTTGGAAGGAGCTGGACGAGACCCAGTGAAGCGCCAGGTTGGAGACCCGGGAAGGTCCCCGCGTTTCAGCGCTGGGTTCCCGGAAACCAAGGGATCAAAGTCACCCCCGTCCATCCGCGGTCAGCTCTGCCTTCAGCCTCGGTCCAGGTTCATGGACACCAGGCTGCTTGGGTGAATCCCAGCGGATGAACCCGGACCATCTTCCCACTTGGACGCGGGACCCCCAAGTTTACGCGCCCCTGTTCCCAGGCGCCTGGGTCCAGGTCTCCCAGCCCCGGGGTTCCCCACTCCTCCATCACGCCCTGTTCTGGGGTCCCCTACGCTGCCCTGAACCCCCTCCTGTCCCCAACRGCGCCTGGCTTTGTCCGGTGTCCCCTCCCGGGCAGCGGCGCGGCGCACTCACAGCCGGTCTCTCGGCGAATGCTGTCCACGTCGGGAATGAGAGCGGCGTGCGAGCCGCGCGAGCCCATGGCCGAGCTGGAGGCGGGAGGACCCGAGCGAGCGAGCGGCCGCCGGACCCAGGCGTTCCCTCCTCCAGGCTGCAGGCGCGGCCGCCCAGTGACCCCGGGGCCGAAGGCCGCCACCCGGCTGGAGAGCAGCCAGGCTCCCGAACCCCAGCGTTCCTCGCCTCCCACCTAYGACCCGGGCAAATAGAAAACAATAGCCCGGGTAGCGGGTCAGAGGGGAGGGAGTGGACAAAGGGTTGTTTCAGCCCAGATTCTGCTGTCCCCGGGGCAGAGGCTGGGCGAGGCCSGTGCCCCGCCTTCTGAAGCCTCCCCCGGGTCTGCATTCTCACGGTCTGCACCAGATACGAGACCCACTCCTCCTCCAGGGCGCTGCCCTCCCTGTCCCCCTCTTCTTTGCTGCGTGCATGCTCAGAAGCAGAGTCCAGGTCCTGCTGGGAACCTGGTGGGGGCATTTGTCCCCATCCTGGATGACCCCGGTCTGSGGGCTGGTGTACAGGGCAGGGAGAGGCATCAAAGCACTCCCAGAGAGGAGAGGTCAGGAGGCTCCTGAGGGGCAGGGTGGAGACTCCTTAGGTGGAAAGGACACTAACTAGATTTAGAGGATTTGGGCTGGACTCCCAACAGCACCAGCTAGTCTCCAGAGTCAGTGTATCTCGGTCTTTTTTTGTCTGGTCTACACAGCATGATTGCTGCTGTGTCATTAAAACCAATGCTTTAAGTGCAAATGTATCCYGATTCCTGGCTTCTCCTGAGATATTCCAAGATCTGACACCACTAAGTCAGGGCCTGTCCATTTGCATGTCTCCACCCAGCCCAAGCTTCTGGCTTTTATGCATGGGAGGCTGCMAACGGGACTGGTTCTGAACTATTGTTAAGCATGCTCTCCTCCTGATCCATTTTTTTTTTTCTGTTGCTATAATTGAATACCAGAGACTGGGTAACTTACAAAGAATAGAGGTTTGTTAGGTTCATAGTTCCAAAGGCTGGGATGTTCAAAACCAGGTGGCTGCACATCTGATGAGGTCCTCCTTGGTGGCATGAACTCTCTGCAGAGTCTCAAGGCCACATAGGCATCCTATGGTAAGATTGGGGCAGCACATCCCAGCCCAGGTCTCTCCTACTGTTGTAGAAAGACACAGATCCATTGGATGAGGGCCCCACCATTTGCCTTCCAAAGGTCCTGCCTCTGAATGCCATGGTCAGATTAAGTTTGCATCCTGTTCATACCTCACATTGGGGATTAAATTATTTTTCTTTCTCTCTCTCTCTCTCTCTCTCTCTCTCTCTCTCTCTCTCTCTTTTTTTTTTTTTTTTTGTGGTGCCGGAGTTTGAACCCAGGGCCTTGTGCATTCGAGGCAAAAACTCTACCCACTGAGCTATATCCCCAGCCCCCCAGGGAATAAATTTCAACATGAACTTTGGTGGGATGTTTAAACCATAGCACATGCATCCTTGGTAGAGGCATATCACTCCCCAGGGAAGGGAAATCTTATTTTCTTGTGTACAAAGCACAGATTTACATATAGAACATAAATAGACCAGTATATTGGGGGTTGTGGAATTTCATGGGGGGAGGGGTAATAGAGGAAAAAAAAATGTCTAAAAGATTTCAGGGGAGGAAGGGATAGCGATTTTTAAAAACTTGAGAAACTCGGTTGTTCACGGACCAAGCACCACGGGTGCCCAGTTTTGAAGCGATCCTTCATCATAGTCACACATACACACCAGCTTTCCCGGAGGAGAAAATACAAGCAGTTCATTAGAAGGGTTCAAGTTCATAGAGAAAGAAGCTGGAGAAACGCTCTGTTTTTTCCAGCCCAAGGCAGAGCTTGCATCAAATGGGCTTGAACATATTGATCTAAAAAGTGCTTGCTTCTCTCACATACCCCAGGGAATAAGCAACTGGCCTAAGAATGCCCGATTCCCTTTCAGACACTCCCCGGGGACAGAACCATGTGGGAAGCCCCCAAATCATGCAGGTGCGTGGCTGGGGGTCAGGCTAGAAGAGTTGGTGTGGGTTGGAGACCCCCAGGAAGCTGCCAAATCACCTCTGGCCAACGTGGGATGCTAATCTTGGAAAGGGCTTCTCYAGCCTCGTTGTCTGAGACAGTGATACACTAAAGTGAGTGATGCCAAAGAGTAGTTAATAACCCTGAGGTTCACACCATGCACAAGGACAGGACTGCGCTACTCTTCCCTGCGTCATGAAGGCCAGTGAAGGTTAGATCGGTCTCACAGAACACGTGGCCACGTCTTCTCCTAGCATCCACATTCAAGAGAGAGATGCATTGGGGAAATTTTCTTCTCTAGACTCTATTGGACTAAACTTTTTTTTTTTTTTTTTGCCTTTAAGCTATATGAAAGCTTCTAGCCATTCTTGATGAAGGTTCACCTCTAAATAACATACAAGAGTAGTTAGAAAAATGTAAAACTTTTATGACTCCATAATAAAAGGATAAATGTCAGCCAGGCACAGTACCCACACCTGTCAAGCCGGCAATTCAAGAGGTTGAGGCAGGAGGATCTCAAGTTTGAGGCCAGCCTGGGCCACTTAGCAAGGCCCTGAGCAACTTTGTTTTAGTTAGGGTTTTCACTGCTGCAACTGAAAGATCTCACCAGAACAATTTTAGAGGAGGAGAAAAGTTTATTTGGGGGCTCACCGTTTCAGAGGTCTCAGTCCCTAGACAGCAGGCTCCGTTCCTCAGGGTTTTAAGATGAGGCAGGACATTATGGCAGAAGAGTGTGGCCTAAGGAAGCAGCTCACATGGTGATCAGGAAGCAGAAAGAGAGGTCTCCGCTTGCCAGATAAAAATATATACCCAAAAGCCCAGCCCATAATTCCCACCTCCTCCAGCCACACCCTGCCACTTTAGTTACCAATCAAATCCTATCAGGGGATCAATTCGCTGATTGGATTAAGACTCTCATAATCMAGTCATTTCTCCTCTGAACCTTCTTGCATGGTCTCACACATGAGCTTTTGGGGGGRCACCTCACCTCCAAACCMTAACAAACTTAGAGAAACCCTCAAAATTAAAAAGAAARAGGGCTGGGGAGGCAACTCAGTAACAAAGAAAAGGGGGACCATAAACTTGAAAAGAMGTTTCTTTCCAAGAAGATACATAAACAGCCAAATAAATACATGAAAAGATTCTCCGTATCACTAGTTATCAGGGAAATAAAAAAATCAAAGCACAAGTGAGCTACCACTTCACACTCACTATRGTGACAACAGTTAAAACAAATAAAAACAACAACAGACAATATCCAGTCTTGAGGTGGATATGAAAAAATTGGAGCCCTCTTACGTTGCTGGTAGCAACATACCGTTCCACAGCAACAGGCTRTGGAAAATAGTTTGAAGGTTCCTCAATAAGTTAAGCAAAACTACCACCTGACCCAGCCATTCCACTGCTAGGGATATACTCAAAAGAACTGGAAATAAGTGTTCATAGTAACACTATTCCTATTAGTCAAAGGATGTCGGGGGCTGGGGTTGTGGCTCAGTGGTAGAGCTCTTGCCTGGCATGTGTGAGGTACTGGGTTCRATCCTCAGCACCACATATAAATAAATAAATGATTCACTGACAACTAAAACAATATTTAACAAAAAAAAAGGTGTAAACTACTCAAATGTCCATCAACCAATGGATAAACGAAATGTGGCATAACTAAGCAAATGGAATATTATTTGACTATACAAAGTAATGAAGTACTGATGTATGGCCCAACATAGATGAACCTGGAAAATATTATGCTAAGTAAAAAAAAAAAAAAAAGATCACACATTATATGTGTTCACAGAAGATCACATATGATTCCACATGTATGGAATATCAAGAATAGGCGAACCTATGGGACAAAAGAATTGTTRAGGGATGGGGAAAGGGAGAAATAACTAAACAAGACGGGGCTTCTTTTTGAGATGATGAAAATATTCTAAAATTGACTTGGTGGTGGTAAACTATAATAATATCTATTGAACTGTACGCATAAAATGAGGGAATCATATGGTATGTAAATTGTATCTCAGTAAAGCTGTCTCCAAAAGGATTAGCTAGGAAAGTCTACAAGTAAAAGAAATAACAGTGAACTTGATCTAACAGATTTTTTAAAAAGTATTATCAAGGAACCATCAGTAAATGTTGTGAGGGTGCGGGAAGGAATAGACAGTTAAGGAAAAGACCGGGAAGTCAGAAATAGACCCAAACGCATATGGGAATTTGTCATGTGATAAAAGTAACATTTTAATTCAGTGGAGAAAAATGTGGATTGTTCAATAAATGTCATTTGGGACATCTGTCTTTTAGGGAGAAGAATAAAGCTGTACCCCTACCTTCTTACACCAAAATAAATTCCAGAAGAAAATAAAGATCTATACACAAAACCAAACATAGAATGTCAGAAGGAAGCTTGAGTGTATTTTGTTTTAATCTTTAGCAGAAGGTCTCTCTAAACATGAGACAAAACACGGACATCATTGGGAAAAGACTGACAAATTTGACTACATGATAATTAAAACCTCTGTATAGACACACATAGGTACATACACAGGTGCAAACATGAACACACACACACACAAATGTGTGTGTGTATAAAGACAAAAAGACAAATTTGGGGAAATACTCAGTCTCTATAAAAGGTAGAAGACCACCTAACCGAAAAAAAAAAAAAGTTGGGAGAAGTTAAGAAATAGAAATAACAAATAAACCTAATAAGCAGAAACTGCACAAGGTTTCAAAATCCAGATTAAAACAAGGGACTACTTTTATCTTCCATGTGTTGAAAGCTGGTCCAGAACATCAAGTGAGCCAGAATCATCTTGCAAGGTCTTTTAAACCTAAAGTGTGCTAGGACGCAGGGGTGAGGGTTCAAGTTTGAAGGTAGATAATTTAATTTCTATTTTGATAGCATCCCAAGAGTCACTCTGGCGGTACAGGCAGACGTMACGGGAGCTAGGGGACTATTGCAGTAATCCAGGTGAAAAACGATGGCGGCATGTACCACGGTGACAGCTGTGGGAAGGATAAGAAGGGACCCAATTTGAGTCCTATTTTGAAAGAAGAGCCCATGAGATTTGCTGATGCATTGAATTAAAAAGTGTGAGAGAGGAATAAAGGATGATTCCATGATTTGGGTCCAAAACAATTAGCAAGGGCCATTTGTCTCCATGATAGAGAAAGGGGACAAATTTCAAGGGGAGAAATTTTGTTTAAAAAGTCCTTGGGCTTCTTAAGTTCTTCCAGATGTCAGTTCCGGAGCCCACGAAATTAGTTCTTATTGGGG